TAGGTTTAAGTTTAGGATTAAGTTTTGGTCTACGTCTAGGTCTATGTCTGCGTCTAGGTCTTTGTCTATGTCTATGTCTAGGTCTAGGTCTGGGTTTTTTGTTTATTTGTTACCTGCAAGTTTGAATCAAAAACATAACTTTAGNCAATTGGTTCCTGGCGCTGATGATGCTGGGAACGTTGGTCTCTTCAACGGCAAAGACAGGTACCGAATTAGGTGAAATAAAAGCCATCTAATAACCTAAATCTTTGCCCTGTTTTCAGGAAACCAGCTGATCACCTACCGAACCGTGGACCCAATGGACAAGTCGGCGACTAATGGCATCATCGGAACGCTGCTCAGCCTGTTCGCCTTCATTCCNACTAAATTTTGCCCTGTTTTCAGGAAACCAGCTGATCACCTACCGAACCGTAGACCCAATGGACAAGTCGGCGACTAATGGCATCATCGGAACGCTGCTCAGCCTGTTCGCCTTCATTCCCTCGCCGCTAGTTTTCGGGTACATCGCCGACAGTTCCTGCAGCATTTGGGAGGTGAACAGCTGCGGCAAACGGGGCAACTGCTGGCTCTATGATCAGGCCAAATTCCGGAATCGATACCTCGGCGTGGCTGTCATCTTCATGGCGCTGGGCAGCCTCTTTGACCTGCTGCTCATCTTCTACGCTGATCGAGTGAAGAACCTCTATGATGATGAAGAAGAAGAAAAAGAGGAGAAAGAAGAAAAGGGCGGCAAAAAGAAGGAAAGATCAAGTGCGGAAAAAGTTGTTGAAAGCTGTTAGTCAAGTGTACAAATACTAATTTTTTTAATTATATAAAAATTGTATTTATTTGTAAAAACACTTTTTTATTTAAAAATAATTTAAACAATTTAAAGTAATTTTAAAATAGCTGTTTACATGACAACAAAGTGTAAATTAGTTATCAGAAAAGCGCACCAACAATATTCAACATTTTCTCATGTTATGCAACCGTGTAACAGATAACCGGAGGTGGATTAAAAGTAAAACCCACTTTTTATTTGTTTAATAAAAGTACTTCATGTATAAATTCCAGATAAAAACTTGCTTTATTTAGTTATGGCCATTATCGGCAACATATAATCAATTGAAATTTAATCAAACACTAACTGATCAACTTCTATTAGCAAAAATAAAATGGAAATCACCCAAAACTTTTAAAATTTATTTTAGCAAAATATTGTTTTTTCTAATTGTAACAAAATTCAAACACGCAAAATAGCAAATGACAATAATAACAATTGACAATTGCCGATTCCAAAAATAAAACCAGTTGCCAAAAACATGCTCCATTGACAACTGGCAACACTTTATTTTTATTTTTATCACTGTTTACATTCTTAAACAAAAGGCTGTTTGTACAACACAAACTTTAAAAACTTATTATCAAGGTTATTTAATTACTGAACAATTAGCGCATTTGGTAGGCTATTTAATTTATTTTCACAATTGTTACCAGCAAGCGTTTTATTTAAAAACTTATGTAAAATAAATTAAAATTTAGAAAATTGTAGAGTTAAGTTTTATTTTATATTTTTAAAACTCAAAAAATTGTTTTTGTTGTTAAAAATAAATTTTAGTGAAAACAATTTAACTCATTCATAGTGGTTTTCTAGTTATTTGTAATTAACATGCTAATGCTTAAATTGAATAAAATACCCTTGTTTTTAAGTACATAATTTCTGAACTCAACTAAGCGTGTCAACCGCAAAAACTAGATTGCAAGTTGAAACTCTTGTTTTAATTGCTTTTTGCACTTAGTTTTAACCACAAAGCACCAAACTGCAATCAATTGAGTAAGTACAAAAAGGGACAATTTTAGAACTGCTCACTAAAAGGAAAGGAAATGAACGCTAATAAGCACTGAATATAAATAAAGGAGAAAAACATGAACCTTGGACAAGTGCAAAAAAGTTTAGCAGGAAAATAGAAACGTCAAACAAAGAATAAGAACTAGCTGCTTTTTTGCTAATGTATTCAACAGTAGCTAAAACTGGTAACAAAAGCAGCAAATAATTACCATTGTCAAATTGTTTCTCTACTTTACTATTAGTAATGTCCAAATTTGACCATCATTGCAACCAGCAGCTAAATTCGCCAAGTTTGCCACAGCCAAGTTTCAATATAGCATTCCATCTACTCTCTAATGATGTTCAATTGGCGAAAAAACTAAACATAAAATACTAAATTGAAAACACTGCTCATTTTAGCTTACTGGGTGCTGTCACTGTATAAATGTGATAATTTAACATTATGTAAACGAGCTGTTAGCAACAGCAGCAACAACAGCAGGGACACTGCAGGCAAAAAGTGTAACGTTGGTTAAACGACAGTCGTTGATAAACTGAGGCGGAGAAAAAGAAGAAGTAACGAAGTAGAGGGCAGACCTATGGAAGACCAAATCAAAAAACATTTTTTGTAATGCAGTTGATGAGCAAAAACTGTGGCACTGGGCTAGCAACAGTGAAAGTTAGCATATACTGACTTCATCATTAACGTTCTGTTTGCCGTTGACTTGAGATCGTTAGCTGTACGATCGCTGCTGCTGCTACGGCTTCTCAAGGTTAAACTGATGAGGAGAAACCACCACACTGTGCTGCTGTAATAGGTTGTGGTCGATGGCAAACATGCTAACACACACATTTGCAGCGAAGGCTTTGCTTGTCAGTTTGCCCGCTTTTGCTGCTTTTGCTGTTGCACCCCTCCAAACATTTTCTCCCTCTTCTTCTTCTTTTCTTTTTTTGCACGTTATCGCCATCTCTGCGCTGCTCTTCAGTCTGTCTGCCTGCCTGCCTGTTGCTGTTACATTCAAAGTGTGTATATAAACGGCCGGCATTTGCAGTGTTACGTCTGCTGTTTCTGCTGCTGTTGTTCTCACCTCTGCTGTTGTCAACCGCCGTCAACTTTTGCTTGAAACGGAATTTTGTTTCTCTATTTGATATACTACTTTTCATCAAAGTATTAATAACATGACATCAAACAAACCCGTCCTTGGCTACTGGAACCTGCGAGGAGTAAGTTTGATTATAAAGAAAAAGTGCCTTAATAGCTTTACCTGAACATTGAAAGATTAATTCAAACTCAATGTTTTTCTCTTACTCCAGATTGGCCAGCCAATCCGCCTGCTGCTCACCTACCTCGAGGTGGACTTTGAAGACAAGCAGTACGAACTGACGGTGGAGAACAAGGGCGCCCCGTGGACGGCCGAAAAGTTCAGCCTCGGTTTGGATTTTCCCAATGTAAGTGTGACGCCTTCAGCTTTAATGACCTTTACATTCCTGACCTTTGACCCCTTTATCTTTTTCCTATCTTAGCTGCCGTACTACATCGACGGTGACGTCAAACTGACCCAGTCGCTGGCCATCATGCGCTACCTCGGTCGCAAGTTCAACGTGGCGGGCAGCAGCGAACAGGAGCGGGTGGCCATCAGCCTGGTGGAGCAGCAGGTCTACGACATGGTCATGGCCTTCGCCCGGGTCGCCTACGACGACAACTGCGAGAAGCTGAAGGTCGACTACCTGAAGAATCTGCCCACCTCGCTGAAGCAGCTGTCCGCCTTCCTCGGCGACAAACCGTTCGTCGCCGGGACGAACATCAGCTACGTCGACTTCTGGCTGTACGAGATGCTCTTCAAGCTGACCGTCTTCGTGCCGGAGGTCTTCAAGGAACATCCCGAGCTGGCCAATCTGACCAAGTTTGTGGAGCGGGTGGCCTCGCTGCCGCGCGTCGCCGCGTACATCAAGGCGAGCAAACCGGCGCTCTTCAACGGCGTCATGGCCAAGTGGAATGCCACTGCCTAGGAAATGATGCTGACTTTTTCCTCTGTTTTTTGCATTCAATAAAAATCTTTTTCACGTTTTGAAACCTCTATTTAGTTGTTGTTGTTGTTGTTTGCTTGTAATTTTGCTGTGTATTTTTGGCGTGTTTACGTGATGTGTGCGCAGTGGTAAACAACAACAGGGGTCACTGGGAAAAACAACGAGGAATGTGTGGTATTGGTGAAGCAACAACCAATGGATAAAATGGCAAAACTTGAGGTCTGAGTGAGAACATCTTTTTTTATAGCAGATATTAGCAATTCAGCCAGGAAAATAGAGAAATAAAAAAAGTTACCGCCAATTTAGCGTCTCCTGGTGGTGGTGTTTGCTAGCAATCGAAGCACTAGATCTTTCTCTTTCTCTCTCTCTCTCTCTCTCTCTCTTGGTAACAACAAGCAGCTGTTTTTTCAACTCGACTCGCTGCCGCTCTTATTTCTCCTCTCTTTCTCTTGCTATTTTTTCTTTCTCACTTTTTGTGAGTTGATGTTTATTTACCAGTAATAGCAGCAACAGCAGCAGTGTACTGCGCGTCGCACTCTGTCCATTTTCTGTCCACACTGTTTTTTGATAATCACTTTGGCTTTTCTCTTTTTTTCCATCAAGCAACAAGTAAACATGATCTTCATCTTCTGATCAGTGTCACCCTGTGTGTGTGTGTGTTTGTCCATCTTCAGCAAGTTCAGATCAGCTAAACGACAGTAGTTTATTGCAGTTGCATCTGTCACGCACACTGTTGCTGCTGTTGCTGCTGCTGCTGCTGCTACCTTGACAACACAATGAAGTTGTGGAACTTTGGCGGCAGTTCCAGCAAGGACGACAGTAAGGGCGCCGATACTGCGGCCAGCTCAGGCGCTGATAACGCCTCTTCAGCTGAAGATGGTGAAGGACAGAAAACTTCTTCACTTTCAGAAGAATCCTCTTCTTCGCCGGCTTACCTTTCGCCAAAAATGACCAGCGGCCCGGCTGGACTAGGTAAACAAACAAAACAGACAAATTCCTTTCAAACTTTTGAGAAAAGTAACAAAATTCTGTGTTTTCTTCTTTTCCTCCTTATAACTGATCAGGTGATCCCGATGACCGAACCCTTCGCAAGGTGGAGACGGAAGTGCTGGTGCCCAAACTGGTCCGTGAACGGGCCAAGAAGCTCAAGTGTGCCGATCTAAAGCAAGGTTTGTTGCTGGCTTTCGGTTTATTTCTCTTTATCACTTGTCATCACCATCACCCTCAGACTTTGACCAGTGCTGTCTGGACCACGCGATGATGATGGTGGTGAACTGCCGCGACCAGAACCGCCGCTACCAGGAGTGCATGGCCAGCTGGTTCCACAACAAGGACTTCGTGGCGGAGTGCACCGAGATCTACCTGCAGCAACGGGCGGAGTTTCGCCGCACCGGCGTCAAGCAGAATCCTCGACGGGCGAAGAAGCAGCGTGAGATGGAGGAGCAGCTC